ATCCAAAGGATTTCCTTAGCTTTTAATGGATACATATAGCTGGATGATAGACACAGATTTGGGCATATAATTAGAAGTTGCACCCGAAATTATTGCATTTTATACATACTGCAACATTTGATGGTATTAATTTAAGTAAAAGCACCATTTCTTTTTCTTTCTCTTGGCACAGAATTCTGCCACAGAGGCTTTTGCCTTAGTACTCAAATTGATTGGCCATTTTGATTACTATGAAAAAGGTGAAGATAAAGAAAGTGATCAAACTCACATATCTTATAAATAATACAAGTCATAAACAGGGCAAAAAGATAGACTTCTGGAAACACTAAAGGTGGGATCAGGTGCCTAGGAGGAGTAAGCATCCCCTGTCGACCATCACACCTGCCATGTGAACTCTGAATGTGTCAGTCAAAATTTGATCAAATGATAGGTTGTATTTGCAAAATAGGTGATATTATAATGGAATTTTACTATATACATAGGGGGAGTTGATGATGGAAAAGCTGAAGTCATCCTGTTGTCATATAGTTTAGTTGTTAGTATGTCATTAATTTCTGTATTCAGTAAAATATTCAAATATGAAACAGATGTGGCAGACTCTGGTGTCTTTTATTTCAAGTTCAGTGGGATATATTAAGTTAACATATGAATAAAAATGAATATTGTTAATTGATAAAAGGTCATTGATATATCTAAATGAAGGCAAGTTTTTTTTTCTTCTCAAGTAGAAATTTTTTAATAAATTCTGCATCATGAGACTTCAATAACAGGTTGGCTTATATAAAGGGGTGCGATTTGTGCCCATGGGAATTCCAACAGTGAGGAACTGCATCTTTTTAATATCAACTTAAGAGTACATTGTATGTAGAATCAGAATAATTTTCAGGTATAGATTTAATAGATAAATTATAAATTTAATATTATATATTTTGAAATGCTGGTACATAGTTTTTATATCATGATATATTCTTGCAGTGGGTTATATTGGAATATACTGCTATACCAGTAATGTGGGACAATTATATTTGTCATCTGTTGGTATTGAATTAATGAATTGCTAAAATGATAATCATATATTTTTTTAGCTTAATTTTTGCTTTGGAGTAACAGGTCTATTTAGTTGTATTGATGTAAAAGTAAAATTACCCCCAATAATTGCTCAGGGTACATGGAAAATTGTAAAGAGGATGCTTACTAGATGTGCCTTTCAGTAATGAGAATGTTTAAAAGAGACGACATAGTGAGACATTAAACATTGAAGTCCTTCAGAAATGGGGTTTTCCTCAGCATGAGTGTACAACAAAATACTCTTCTTTAAACCTTACCATATTCTTAACATTTTGATATTTAAATTTTATTGAGAGTTGAAAAGGGTACCTAGTAAATTGTTTTTATATGGAAACTAATAGGGATGAATTCTTAAAGGAGCTTTGGTGCTTATTTACAGAATGTTACTTGAAGATTTATTTGTGGTTATTTACATAGAGTTATGCCCCTTTGCTGTAAAAAAAAAAAATAAAGGGTGTCTCTTTTATTCTAATGCTTGCCATGATCCTCCATGATTTCAGTATGCAGTCTTTGTATTTGTCAGCATTTCCAAGCTGCTAATGTACAAGCTGCTAACTTGCAAAATTACTCTATTGATGTAAATGGAACTTTTTTTTGTCCAAGAAAGTTGTCTACTATGGTATGTGTGAAGATGTCTTGAAGCAGAACCAATTTTTATCCTTTCTTCAGGTAGGCTGCATAACTGATGATAGGTAACTTGGCATGTGAGTTGCTTTTGCTTGCCTATCACACAGTTCTAGTATGGGAGAGATAAAAAACAGTATGCCCAATTTAATCAATTGCAAATTAATTATTTCATCAAAAGAATGGAAGTGGAAAACTTTTTCTTTGAAGATGGCAGTTTTATACAAGGTGATTTCTAGTTTTTGCATGTAAATGAAAATTTCTTCTGTTGTTTGTTTCACGCATCACTAAACACAGAGGTTGAGAGAACATTGTGCTCATTAGGCATAAATCGTCAGGGGGTCGTAATATTGCGCATCACTGGAGATTTAATCTCTGAAAGGCTTCATATGCAAGTCATGCAGAAAGGCTTTCCAGTCCGTTAAAGTTTGTCTTTATGCATCCCTGCCCTCTAATCTTAACAAGTGTGCTCATGCATGAATAATCACAAGAAATGAAAAATAAGTTTTTCCAGATTTTCTGACAAAAAGGAATGTGAGATGCTGCTTTTAGAAAAATGATTTTTTTGTGTGTTTTAATACTTACAACACATTCATGGCTTTTGCTCGCAGCAATGGACAACATTTTAAAGGAGTACGTCAGCAAAGAGGGATGCAATAATTTTTTTTCCCAAAAATTCTTAGGTTAGAAAATTATTACTGGGTGTGGAAATATTTGAAAATCTTATTTTTTTTCAACTATTTGGTTTCGCGTCACTTGCAGGAAGCCATGTGAAAAGAATAGAAGCTGCCAAGACACTTGATGCTTTACGTTCTTTATAGAACACCCAGGTGTGATTCTCGTATTGATGATAGGTTTTCATTTTTCCCTGCATTATGTCAAGTTTCCTGCAATGCCCAGTAGATTAACATGGCGTGTTTGATTTTGAAACTTGAGACAGAACAGAAATATAGTTTTTTTTTAAGGATATCTCATGGTAGGTGTTTGTTGAATGGCTACTCTTCAACAGTCTGGAAACTGCATCAACCAACTCTATCGGAATTTAATTAAACTACAGTGTCACTACATTTTCTCGATATTTTCCCACTGATTCAGGGATAGGTAAATTTAATAATGCACACTTTGTCAGCAACATTTGGAAAATATTCAGTCAGCACTATTTAATACATTTCTCTTAACGTTGAATGTTCAAAACAATTGCATAATAATATTGAACTGTCCTTACTAGACTTTTATGTGTTGTAGTCTGTGTAAAATAAGCATTTGTTTTATTTTTATCTTTAAAAAAACTTTTGTGAATGCTAGTACACATTAATTCGCATATATGAGGCATAAAACATCCAAGAAATCATCAACAAAAATCGATGGTTTACTGTCAAGCTCTGATGATCTGTCTGCTGGAAGCTTATCTCTGTAAATTAATGAAGCATGGAAAATAAAAACTTCTAATGATGCCGCAGTCCAGAAGTTTAATGACCTGCTTCTGCTAGTCATGGTTTACAGATTGTCGTATTGGTCAGCCTCCAGAATCCAGATTGCGTTTTACGTTATAGTACAGACTTGATGGAAGTCGTAGGTCTGTCACGTCACTTGTTGAGATGTAAGTAAGCATAAAAAGTCTTTTTGAGTGACAAGTCAGACATTTTATTTCCTCATTTTTCAAACTACAAGTACTATAGTGTGGCTGTAATGGTACTAAACACAAATCTCTGTTTTGGAGAGAGAGAGAGAGAGCGAAAAAGAAAAAAAAACAATATTAAGAGATTGAAACGAGGGAGGTGGAAAGGAAACAAAAACAAACAAACAACAACAACAACAACAAAAAAAAAAAAAAAAGACTAGGAAGATCTGTAAATGATTTATGAGAATGTAATTTTGCTAGAGGTATATTTTTTCATATTTACTGAGTATTTTTTTTTTAACTAAAAGAGATAATGAAGTGATTTGGAAAAGGTTTTGATTTTGTTGAATAAATTCTAATTGCATGTAGAGACATCAGAATTAATGCTTGTCAAATCAAATCCCTCATTAGCTACCAAGAAATATATCATTGCAACAACAATGGTATTTTCTTGAATGTTTCAAACACAAGGTATTCTTTTGAAAGACTCAAAATTCGATAGAATTGATTTTGAATGTTCAAAAAAAGGTTGTTGCTATTTTGCAATATGTGACCAAAAAAAAAAGAATAGGTGGATTACACATATTGGATTTGCTTGGGAGGAATTCCTAGTGCACTACGCTCCACAATGATTGATCTTTATCGGGTCATTAATCTTGCATTATTGTGTGTTATGGTTAAATGCATTTTTGTTGGATTTACAAGGAGATTTAAAGCACTATTGACCACGTGAGACCGATAAAGGAAATCAATTAAGTCCTCAAAATCGTAGTGTTCTGTCAGTGACAGTGAACTGCTAGCCGTTATCTTTTGTGGGTAAATGTAGTCAGGGACCATGGCTGTGATAAAAGGAATGTTCCAACTTTTTATTATTCTCCCACTTCACCTTATTTTTCTGGGTATAAAAGAGTAAAATTGTATGTAAAGAAGTGTCTCTGTTTGTACATGTAACACATTTTCCTAATATTACAGTAATGAAACGCCAAGGACAAAGCAAGGGATAATTTGTTATTATACAAATTCATTCACTTAAATATCGGAGATGGGAAAGATAATCATAAAATTAAAACTTACAAGGCATTAAAACAAATGAATACAAAAAATGAATCAGAGCTAAATACTATACAAAATTCTTTGAATTAAACTACAAATATATTTTAATATGATCATGGAACTTGCATCTTAAATTAATGAAATCATGAATATCATCTATTACATGGAATGTGGGTAATGGCCGGGTTAGGGATGTAGAATTTGATACTGTTATTCTGCCCACTAGCTACGGAATCTGATTTAATCCACAAAGCAGTCAAGTATGCATGAAGTTACTGTATGCTACTTCCTACTTCAGAATTCATAAGAAGACTTATTGAAGACCTTATATCCCCAGATTTTGCATGAAAATTTTAATTAAAATTTATACAATTCATGATTTTTTTGTTCATCCTTTGTTAGGAAAAGTGTGTCGTTAATTTTTATGGATTTAGATGGAAGGCAGAAAAAAAAAAATAAGGCTCTGGCAAACACAGTTATTAGCGTAAATTATAGATTTGCCTTGTCAAGACACACAGCTGCAAGCATGAGTGCCGCAGCTTCAAATTACCACACAGTTTACACTCCACCGATTTTTCTGATTGGGTGAGTTTGAAAAGCCAAGTTCTGGCAAGCTGTTATTGCCAGAGAGCAACCATGCATAGCAGCTGTTAATTCATTGCATTTTATATTTAGCAGGTATAACTAAAACAAACTGAATAAAGACCAGCAGTTCTAGAAAATTTTGTTTGTATTGTACGCACTCACCTCATTTTGACGTTCAAAATTTTTTTTCAAAGGTTTTAGATGTACTAGGAATTTCTGAACTTGCCCGGATTATTGTCATGCTCCTTGCTGCATTCGAGCTTTGAGTGTGAGATATTGATTTTGTGAAGAGAACATACTGTATTGAGTTACTGTGAATTTTTTATTATTTTAAAGGAAATAACAGTAGTACGGGTGTCAAAGTGTGAGGTGGGTATCTACTTTCAGTTTTAATTATTTGTTAATGCTTGATGTATTTTACCCGTGTAATAGGGATCCTCGTGTCTTGCCATCAAATTTCACCTGTTGGCATAAGTTATATTCTATCCTTTTATCAAAGATGTTATCTTAATAAAAATATAATTTCACCATCATGCCTCATTTATTTTATGTGATTTTGTTCTTTAAAATGTACTCTTAAGCCTCCCAAATGTCTAAGCTACTTAGTCAAATTAAATTTTATCTTCTAAGGAATGTAATGAAATGATTTTACATTTTTTGTGGTAATATCCTTTCTTTTTAAGTCACTGATATTAATTATTTAATAACACTTTATTATAAGTTCACTTCAAAGATAATCCCTTTTCGCTGATATAATTTTTAATTTTTTTTTTTAAATATGCATTTTTATACATGTGAACAACTTCTATGAAATTGAACATAAAGACTTGAACAGTTAGCGTACTAACTTTTAAAACATGCTTACTTCATATTCTGTTTTTAAGGTTGAAGTTACATTTGTTAATTTGAATAAATTATATTTAAAAGGCCTTGAAGCTTACTTTTTGTGTATAATAAGAATCCTATGACATCAAATTAATTTTTTTGTTGTTGAAAAAATTGGGGGAGGGATTCTACCTAATTGATAAAAATAACTACCTATGGACTGGATACTTGACAATGTGGATGTAATACTAATCAGTACTGATTTTAAGGAATTAAAGATTAAATATAAGCAGCAAACTGAATTTAAAGTTATCATCAGTCTGTGAATTAATGAAATAATGATACCAGATTATGATGGTTACATCAGAATTGGATGAAATTTGATTTGGTTTTCAACATCAATCCCTTCTTAACCTTTCATTAGCGTAGTATAAGTTTGGCTACTGTATCCTATTGGTTCATCAGGCATTAGAGAATCTAAGGGTAAGGTAAGTGTATTAAAACAGTAATAGTTCTCTTAGTTTATGTGTCCTCAAGAAAGTCAAAGGAACATGCATAAATAATATTGGGGGGGGATGGCAAAGTTCAAATATTGATGAAATACTTCAATATGTAAATTTTCAGCACTGTTTATCACTGATTTTTTTTTAACTCACCAGAGCTAAGGGTACAAGTAAGTTTTTTTTTTAAAATTTCCTTTGTGTTCTGTCTGCTGTAACTATGAACTTTTTATTTTTTTTTATAAATAGAGGAAGTACTCAGTCTGAAATTTTTATGTAGAACCAAATCTTACATTGATCAGTTGCTGCATGTTGAAATTGTTATAGAAGCATTGTAGTGTTTTGTTTAAGCCATTGCCATCAGGGGAGGCTACAAAAAGTAATCCCACTATGCAGATTGCTTCCTTGAGACTCACTGGTAGGTGACGGGTGAGCTTCATGACCTATGGGCTTCTTATTAGATATGTTAGGGGTTTTTTTCCTTAAAATTTTGATGTAGGAGAAAATAGTAAGCTCCTCTTATGTGTTCCAGATGATAGAATTATCTCCCTTGTCATGGATGAAAAGATTTAGGAGCCAATTTGTAGCAGTATTCTTTGTACACAGGTAGGGTTTAGTAGTCATAAGGTGGATCCATTCAGTGTTTATCGGTGCTTTTTCTCATTCACCCGAAATAGATATATTGACAACACGTGTTTCATGCTCAAGCCCTTATCAGCATAGATTTATTGAGGTCAAGCATAGCCATGACTATGTATACGCATTTCCAGGTAAGAGAAACATTGCTGCAGTTTGTGAATTTTATCAAAAATTTAAGGAAGACAGGGTTTCGGTTGCTTTTTAAGGTGACAAAATTCATATTTATAAGGGATACTGGTTGTAATATGCCAGTTAATGCTTGCAACTGATACTAGTTTTTTTTCCTCTCTAAATCTGGATGCAACAGACTTGATCAGGTAACTCAGGAAACAGTTTTAAACCATTTTTGGCATACTGTTTATTGTAGTTATTTATACATTGTATCACAATGTTCTTTTTACTTCCTGATTTTTTTCATTAATCTAGATATTGTAATAGTGTTTCAAGTTCTGAGTATTTTTTAAGTCTTCATATTTGTTTAAGCAAGTATTTTTAGATAACATAATTTTTAAAAGCATGTTGAATAAGTATGTACAAGCATATAACAATCAGTGGTTGCATTGCCTGCCCAGCTAGGTTATGAAAAAAGCTTTTTATTTCACACTCTAAAAAGTATATATCTCACTGTGAAAAAATAAATTAATAAATAATAATTAAATGAATTTAAACTATTCATTTTTTTAAAATCAGATTAAAAAAAAAAATAAAACTTAGTATTTAATAATCTCAAATCTGAATAATGCTATGTTTAAGTGTTCTGACTTGTTAAACTGCTTAAAAACTGTGCACTCTCAGTTTCTGCAGCATAACAAGTCTTCTGTTGAATACATTTATTTGCAAATTAATTTCTTTGACACTGATTATTCCAGTTGATTTTAATTCCTGATATGTCTGGAGTCAGAAATTGGAAAGTCATAACTAAGAAGTGTAAAGATGATTAGAACAGTCTCCAGTGTTATGTAATATTGCTAGAGACTGGACAGAATTTTCCTAATCAGGCTTATACTGGACGCTGATGAAAATGGATGGCCAATCCGATTTTTCGGATAAGTGGCATTGTTGTTCTTATGCAACTGAAATTCAAATTACATGACCCCACAATGACATCTCATTTGAGGGCATATGAATTTCTAATCCAGGTTTACTGAAAAATAATTAAAAGCCATGAGAAGTTTCTTGTAATTTGTAAGCATATTTGGCAAACTACAAAAAGTTGGAGAATTCAGAGTAATAAGAGATCACAAATGCAGAAAGGAAAAAAATAATTTAGCAGTTACTGAAAAGCATGTGGATGGGACAATATGTCACAGAAAAAGAAAATACATGTACATATTAGTTACTTTGTAGTGTATAACTTTGAGAATCATTTTAGAAACTGGTGCCTTGTAGACACTGAAAACATTCTATTTACATGTGTCAGAAATGTCCTTCTCAACTGCTCCTTACTCATGCTCTCATATTGATGTGAACAATGTAAAGGATACTGTAAATTACTTTTTATTCACAGGAACTTATTTTTCATGTAATTACAAGAGAGTCTACCCACGTAAATATAATTATAGAGAGCAATAACCAAAATTGGTGAAAATTTTGTCTTGCTAATAAATAGTAAATGACTACCGGGTATCTCACAAAAATATGGTGTTGCGAAAATTTGGTGATCCACTGTACTTTAAACATGCATACGTTGAACAAGAAAAATTTTAACCATAGATCATACTTTTGGAAAATCTTAGCTTTACTAAGTCAAACACCAGAAAAGAGCATTAGCTCCTTTTGTGGATTTGCTCAATTTCGATAAATCTTGGTACATAACTAGACTATCAAGATGCTTAATTCTATTGCATTTAATTTTCATGAATGGTAAAGAATGGTTACTATAAATTAAATGATCTCTTTAATATATCTTAAAATGCTATTCTGTGTATAGTTTTGGCCTGATTTCAGTGATACTGGGTACCAAAGTAGACTTAATCAAGATATATAATTTTACACATCAATTTATCATTGTAATGAGCTATGTTACCATGGTTACTAAAAAAGAATGATGTGGACTTCTTATAAAATGCTACTGTTCATACATCTTTGGCCCATTGTCAATAAAACATGGTACCTTCAGTAAACTACATTGACATCAAAATATGCAATTCTTTTTGATAAATTAGGAATTTATAAAACAGTGTTGCCATGGTTGGTAAAGAATAGAATAAACTGTTAAATTCATTCCTAATATACTAGTTATAATTAGATTTGAATAAAACTTTGTGTATATATAAACTACATGAAGATAAACTGTACACAAGTTTCTGATTTTAGTGAACAGTGTTAGAAAAGAGAATATGAAAAGGATATTTATTAACTTTATCCTATAAGAATAAAACCTAAAACAGACTTTGCTGATTTTTGTGATAAAAGTATCAAAAATAGATTTTTAAAAATTCAGATATTTCAAATTACATTAGAATTATTTTATCACTATGCTCCTTCCTGATTGATTGAAAGAATGAAGTGTCATATTACAGCTCCAAGTAAAAAGAAAATTTTAAGTGTATGTTCAATTTTTCTCATACTTTGTTTAAATCAGTAGAGCTACAGTCACAACAGAGACTTTTGGTCAGTTAAATTTAAAACCAAATTCATAAAAGCAAAAATGTTACTTATGTTAACTTAAAAGTTTATACCGTAGTTCCGGTACAGGTAGTTGGTAAATTTGTATTTGAAAAAAAGGAGGACATCCTTTCTTTCTATATCTAGGCAATATTCAAGGACCTACATTATTAGAATTAATTGGAAATGAAATTCTAAGTCCATGTTACCTGGCATCACGAACACAGGAAGTATGCAGCAATGTAACAATATAGTTAATGGACCTTAACGTGCAATGTCATGCCTGAATGATTATCCATAGAACCCTAATCACCCAAATCCTTGCAGGGCCATGCTATATTTGCATAAACAATTACCCCCTTGTAAATACCATGACGTTCCTTGCACAAATTCAGAAAATTTAATGAAGGGATTAATGCCGATTGCATTTAAATGCCCTGGACCATGAACAAAGCAGGAAATTGCCTCTCTTGAAAATATCAAGAGTCAATTTGTTACTGTGATAACAATCCTCTAAATTTGTGTTCTGAATGTCTGGGGTTACGGTTGATTCCATGTCATTTAACAGACAATAAATTCGTTTGAAATTACATTTTTGAATATGCAAATATATGCTTTCATCTGAAATCAGGATAAACTGTAATCATTTTTCACCTAACAACCATTGTTTTATCAAAGGTGGCTTGATATAGGATATGTAAGGAATTATTTGCATAATTTCAGAAAAAGTCATCCATTGCTTACGGATAGTTAATAGTTTTCTAAATAGACTTTAATCCTTACTTTGCATTTAGATGACACAAAATTTTTTTATTAATTGGATTTTTCTGTAGGAAGTGAAAGCTGTGATATTAGAATCAGTAACCATAGACACATAAACCTTCACCATGTGGATCAGGAAGATGCCATAACCTAGCTCACTTTGGAACTAGAGTGATTTTCCCTGATGAGACAAGAGTTACATCCCTTGATGGTTGATTTGCCATGATGACAGCAGAAGTTATCAACATCCAGGTCAAGCAAGAATCCTCAGACAGTAATCACCAAAACACCACAGCCTCAAAGGGGACAGAGCTGGAAGAAAATGGTGTGCAGGTATCTGGGGAAACCACCTCTCAGCTGGAGACAGCACCACCTGCGGTGTTTGTCCAGGCGACAACCACCCAAGACAGTGGCAGTATCAGCGCTAGTGAACAGTTACAGCGTATGATTCAGCAGCAGTATCTAGTCAACCTCATCCAGTTTCAGCAGTCCATGCTGCAGGTATGCTGATTACTTTATCTATTATCCCACTTGGGTGATAGCAAGTAAAGTTAAAAAAAACTTCCTTACTACTATACACTAACTAGGTAAAAGGTGTGGGAGGCATATCTCATTTCAAAATAAGTTTTATAGGGCAGAGAGATGACTATATTTCAGTATAAAATTTGACTCCCTCATGCAAGAAGAACCTTTAGATTTGTAAGTGTCTGAACCTCTTTAGCAGACTGGCCAAGCAATGCAGCACCATCAGAATTTACTCTCAGCCATTGACTTCACCAAACTGAATCAGGAAGCCACGGCAACTTCTGAGACCCCAGTCAATCCGATTCCAAGTGAATCTGGTGACAAAGAGAAAAAACAGGCCAAGGTCAACATAGAAGGTCTACTGGAAATTGGATCAGACTCAGAGAATACTGAAAATGAGGATGGAGTTCTAGGAGATGGGGGTGATGATCATGAAATGGTGAAGGGTGGCCGAGAGAGAATCCGACACTCAGGTATGTTAAGACATAAGACCAGTGTGAATTAAAGATAATATCAATGAAAGCATTATCAGATAAGTGTAGAATTTGTTTAATTTAAGAATACATTGTATAATGTAATATAATATGAAGTGTTCTGCAAAGTAGGTAATTATTGTCATTCAGATTTAAAGTGTAGGTAATTTGATTCATCTAAGAAATATCAGAAGGAATCCTATGCAGCAATGCTTACCCCTCTCCTCAAATTAGAACTCCTTAAAAGCTTAAACAACTTGCATTGGATGTTTCATAAAATCGGTAAGCCTTAAATCAGGATGATGTCGCAATGATTTACTTGTCAAACATAATTAAAAAATCATTTTCAAGACAAAACTTTGAAGTTTATGTTCCTAAAAGAGTGTAATCATATGTAAATGTTATAAGAATTGAATGATTGTTTTTGCATATGACTGGATCATATTAGATACACATGCAAATCATCATTGCCAGTATAAATATGTGCGATTTATGTTTTAAAGAATGGAAATACTTGTGGACTTGAAATCTTTAAATATTTTCATCCACCATGATATCACTAGGTAGACAAGGAAATGGCTAAAATTAGAAATGAGTTTTAGAGAAAAGTAATGTACATTTAGTTTACATCAGTTTTTGATTAGGAAAAATAAAGCGCAGGTGTGTCAACATCCTGTCTTTTGATATGATGTGGAAACCATTAATACAAGTGAAATAGAAAGTTGATAAGGTGGACATTATGATTCTGAAAAGTTGAATTTACTCATTCTCTTCCATTTCCTCATAATTTGAGACATCATAGAGACAAAAAATAGTCATATGTTCTTTCCTTACAATCCCGTTTTTTGTTGTTGTAATTTTCATTTTCGTTATACAGTGTGTACATTCTGATAGATATTTTATGCCCATCCATGCAATAGATGATGAATAAACATGGTGTTACCCCTTTCAGTTTGTCAATTCCGTCATAATTTTCCTGTCCTTTTCTATTTTTTGCTGTACTTGAGAAGATTCCAATGGCTACCTTTATAATAATGACCTACAGATCAAGTTATAAGTTTGTGTTAATTGACCCAGAATCATCAGAGTTATTGCAATTAGACTTTGAAAAAAGTCGTACTTTTTCTGTGAGGTAATTTTTTGTTTTATGTCAGTTGACCCACAGGTACTTTCAGCAGATACTGCCAAAGGATGTGAAAATTTCATGAATATTCTTATAGTTTTTTAGGCTTAAATTGAGAATGACCTGAATCTGGATGTTTGTAATTGCACCAAATGCTAGCTACATAAAAAAGAAAAATAAATAAAAAATAAAAAGAGAGATGGCCTTAAAGGTCAGGGGTCAAATAGCATAGCCTCTGCTGCTAAAAATAGATATTTGTTTTCACAAAGATAAGATGGCTCTCAGATTTTGATGATCATACCTTCACTGTAGGCTGGGCTGATAAAAAGCATACCTGGGATTGCTCTGAGGTCCTGGGGCTTGTGAAAAACCAGTCTTAAATTGCTTACAATGTCTAAGGTCATGGCATCTGCTGTGAAAAAAAGGATATGTGCTTTGATTTTCCTCCTGTAGCAAACTAACAAAGATTTGCTCAGATTAGAATATTGTTTTATTTAAGCTTCTAAATAAAATTTGACTTTGGAGCATATACCATTACTGCATGTAGTCCTATATGATTCTTAGCAAAATCAAAATGAAGTGATTGGATATTGGATAATTGGATAAAGTTGGAATAGGAATATTAAAATTGATTTTATTTTTGAAAAATGCTTATTATTGTAGTTGGTGGAAGAAATATAAACCAGTATGGCAGAGAGTTTACAAATGGCCGTCCCCTTCCTGATCATTTGAGAGTTCAGATTCTACAGTTAGCTTTACAAGGCATTCGTCCCTGTGAAATCAGCAGGCAGCTACAGGTGTCTCATGGATGTGTCAGCAAAATTCTAAATAGGTACTGTGGACAATGTATATACAGTAAAACCTGTCTAATCTGGATGTTGTGTATTCTGAAATCTTGCCCATTATTATGAAAACTTTTTGACCGTTTGAGTAAATTCAGTAGTTCAAATGTTGTCTAATTTTAAAAAAATCTGTCACATTCAGCAATTTTTTATTGAACCAGTGGAGTCTAGACAAGTTTTACTGTATATTTATGTTTTTCATCCATATTTTTGAAGAATTTTCCATTGAAATATTAAAAAAAAAATTGTTAATTTTTAGAAATAAATGAACACATTTCCTAAGAGAAACTGCCTTTGGGCTTTGGCTGTGATTTGGGTCATGAAAAATACTGTATGTACATGTATGGAACTTGTTAGGACCGAGAAAAAAAAAACAAAACTTGAGATGTATGAGGATTTGAGGTTAAAATACATTTTAAAAAGTGGTTTGAACTTTCTTGGATATATCCATGGTATTTGAGATATTGATGTTCAAGATATCAATGTTTGAATGTGTATTATAAAAGCAGAATTATTCATTTATTTTATTGGTGACAATTGTCAGTGATGTTAATTCTCTAACAAATATTTTTATGTGAATATATATTTTAATTTTGTATTTTTTTTTAACAACACATCAAGCCCTCACAAAATCATTTTAGATTGAAAATCAATGAAAATTTTGTCCCCGAAAAAATTCTGCTTCAGCAGTATATATTGTGTATGTATAGTTAGCCTCTTCAGATGACATCAAAACGAATACAGTGAATAATGTTAAAATTTAATTCAACACCTTTAGTATTATAGTAGAAAATTATTTCTTTGCTCACTTCAAAGAAGTTAGGGAAATTAATGCGAACTGGCAAGTAAGGTTGTAGTTCCACTTCTTATAGGAACAAAATCCTTTGTGGACCAAATGTGCATGGAAGATTCATGTATTTGAGAAAGAGTGAGTCTAAGATGGTTCTTTTATTTAGTGTCAAGTCTTCATCTTTCACTATTCTTCATCTTTCACTATTCTTGAAAAGTAATCTTGCACATGGAACCTTTATTTAAAAAAAGTAATTTCACCAATTTCTTTTCCAGCAACTAACAATTATTTTTTTGCTGCATGGATGAGAAAGGTTTAAATTTATAGATATTCTAATATCGGTGACATTAATTTCATTTCAGGATATTATTTTTCACATATTTTTTTTGTAAATCCTTGCCTGTTGAGAACCTGTATCTCTGCTACTGTGATATGGAACTGACAGTTCATTGCTTAGATGTAGAGGCAGTTGATTGATTAACAACAGTTAAACATTGTCACTGAAAATCACCCCATAATTATGTAGGATTAGGATTAAAATCAAAACATTAAAGCTACTTGATGAGAGTTAAAATAAGATATTCAAATAAATATTTCATATATAATACATGTGTTGTAGAAAAATATATACATGTACCCAGTGCACTTTCTTCATCTGATTTCAGGTATATTTGAAATTTGATACCTATATATAAAATTTCAAGCCATCATCGACAGTTTCAGAATCACTTTGGTGTCTTTTTAACTGGGAGAAGTTATAGTTGTGTTAATATGTTAAGGGTATTTGGGTTTATGATACGCTTTTAGGTGAACAAGTTGAAAAAGAAATCTGCGCACTGGTTGAAAGCATCCCTGTTATCTGTGCAGCCATCAGGAACTGGGAAATGGCCGATTTTTGACAGATATTTTTGTCGTTTATTTTCCAGTCCATTACCTTTCATAGTCAGAAATCCACCTAATCCTTTTATAAGGTTGTAGATTTTATTCCTCTCATAAGTTAAAGAGTGACGCTTTATCTGGAGGCAGGCAAGCGTGGTTAGACAAATTAAGAGAGGCTTTTGAAATACACTGAACTTTGCTGTCACGGATCACTGAATGTCTATGAACCAACGGGTTGACATGCAGTGTACAAAGACATACAAAGATCCTGTTCCTTGTTGGGGCTATAGTTCCATGAATACACACAGTTAAATCTTCACAGTGCACTGTTGTTTCTACTCTTTTGTTCATGGGTGATTCAATCTGATTGTTTAAATTACCTTGGAATAATTGGTTGTTAATGTATATGAGGTCAGTCAAAATAATGCTTTTGTTTTGTTTACTTTCAATTTGTAAATTAAAAGGTTTAGCAGACAATTTTTGGTCCTTTTTTAGAGACATGTACACAGTCATATCTGATTGTCTTTGTGTGTTACGATATTGAAATATCTTTTTTTTTAATTTATGACATACAAAATGTTTGTAAATAAATGTAAAATTTAGTTTTTGACTATGTACACAAATAGGATGTATGGACATGAAGTTGAAAATAATGGGAAGTCTTCGTCCATTAATGCTGGGCTTCTATCTTAGATAGATCTGTGTAATATAGTTTGGTATAACACTCTTTTTTTCTTTTTGTAAATTTGCAAAGGTTTTCAAACTTAAGTTCAAGGTCATGTGTTGAATGAAATATACTTCAATAAATTTGGCTCAATTTTTTTTTTTTTTTTTTTTTTTTACAGATATAGAAAAACGGGAAGTATTAACCCAGGACAGATTGGTGGAAGTAAGCCCAAGGTCACGACCCCTGATGTGGTCAACTGTGTCCGGCAGTACAAGTTAGAAAATCCTCAGATGTTTGCATGGGAAATAAGACAGAAGTAAGTAGCACAGATACATGGTGGCCCATTTAAGGGTTGATTTCTTCAGTCATAATCTAAAAGTGTAGTTTTTAAAATTCTACTTCTGATGAGCTGCATTCATAACCCGATGTTAAGGTCAAAGTAGTTGATCATGACCCAGATGTCAAGGTCAAAGTTGCTAAAACATTTTTCACTAAATTGTAGAAATTTGTATTACAAAATGTGTTTTTATTATCACTAGTGTGTTCAATAGTCAATGCAATGGCTTTTGATTATCTTCAACTTAAAAGGCAGCAAGTGGTAAAAGATACCAATGTCTTATGTATTTGCTTTAGTTTCATTACATAAGAGTGTATCATAGACAAAGTTTTAATAAGGTGTACCTATACAGATATCTGATTGCTTGATCTTTCAGCCATGACCATTCCTTTTTTTAAAATGGAATATTTAACTGATATTTCAAATTATGTATTCTCCACAATTGAAAGAAAATCATGGAACATTAAGGAATAAATGAACAGATCTCTTTCTAAAAGTGGACTCATTTGGTTTAAAAAAAAAAAAAAATAGCGGAATGTATAAAATAACCATTTGCAATCTTTAGAATTGTTCTTGCAGAAAATTCGTGTAGATTTGCATGAGTGCGTTCCAATAAATCAAGGGGTTGCTGTAAGGTATTGATTAGAAGTCATGGTGTGTTTCCCTATTGATTGGTAGACTCTGCTGAACAATTTGTTGAGAACGAAGCAGTGGTGTGCAACATTGCCTAGATACGCAAAAATGGTCACAAGATCAGATAGTTCCACTTAACAACTTCACAATCAATGCCCAGCAGATCAAATCACGCTCTCAGTAATTCTGAAAATTACCAAGAAATTTTATATAAATTATTTTTCCAGGAATTTTTCCTTTATAAGTGGCATTGCCCAGGGACAAAATATTACAAGTTAAACCAAATTATATTAAAATTTTATCAGTTTCACCATTTAGTAGAAAAGATTGATACTCATAAAATAATTTTCCTTATTAGGTTTGTGTATTGCTATAAATCTCATCTGGAGAAAGATTTTCTTTTAATTAAACATTAGAATGTTGTAATGTTTGAATGTATAAACGAGTAATTTAAAGTACATGTATAATGCTCAGCAAATCTATCCATATGAATTTTTTTTGTACATGTATTTCTTCCAAACCTATGATCCATTAATTATATAATTACATATATACTGTATGAAATATTTAAAAAAAAGATCTTGTATCTAAGGAGAAGGCTGAATGGTATTAACTGACGGTGCATATGCTTGTCATATTGGTTGTAGAGGTCCGTTGTTTATGTTACTAAATATAGATAGTACTTAATACTGCTCCGTTATTAATTAATATAATATCACAATAATATGTTAATTTGGCTAAATATTGTCACTGTTGCAGACTGCTTGGAGATGGGATTTGTAATGAGAAGAATATACCCTCCATCAGTTCAATAAACAGAATTATCCGTGACAAAGCCATTCTTCAGAGACGCTGCATCGAGGGAATTCCAGTTGTTGACTCAGATGATGTAAGATTCTGAATGGTTCAGCATTAGAGAAGGAAAAGTGGTTTATAGAGTATCAAAAATGACACAATATTTGTTTGGACAAAGGAACTTATAGATGAATTATTATAGAATGAACTTTATTTCAGCTCACTATTTCATATCATTTCTAAAAACACTTGTCATCATATCATTGTTTGATACTAATTTATTTCCCCAACAGGGTGAAGCAGATGAATTGACTATAGATCCAGAACACTTGAAGCATTTCATGATAGTACCAAATCTAACCCCTAATGCCAGCGAGAGCCAAACTGTCATTCCTATTCAGACAATCTCCAGCATCCCAACTGATGCTCCCCAGACGGTTGTCATACCAACTGTGAGCATGCCCAGTCAGAGCTTGATGACATCAGCATCTCCTCAATCTCCAAGTTCAACAGTTGTTACTTATCAGGTGACTTCACCATCACAGCCAGCTTCTACTGCGGTACCTACAAATTCACAGAAAAATCAAGAAACGGAGGCATATGACATAGAAAAAGAACAGGAGACAGCAGTGTCCTTCATACAGGAATCCTCCAGTGATGATGGAGATTCCTCAAAAGGTCATGATATCAAGGTCATTCAGTTGGAATATAACAATGATGAACAAAATAAAGTAGGATCTGGCTCAGAAAAGACTGATGTGTCTACAGCTGACACTAGCAGGCAAAACAACCTGCAGGCAGTTCTGTCCCACTTGATTTCTACACAAGCCACTACTATGTTGAGAGAGGAGGATCCTAAACAAGTGACAGAAGCAAAGAAAAAGTCTCCACAGGTCTCACCACCTTTGACCAAAGCAGACATGCCACCCCCATACAGTGTAGCTGTGGGACCTTTATATGCAACCATTCCAATGTACAGCCCCTCAATAATGAAATCCACACCAACAAGTACAACATCCACAAGTAGTACAAAACAGTCAAAAGGGAAATCCAAAGCTGTGAAAGCAGAAAACAGTGGAGAGCATCAAGGCAGGAAATCCAGATCACAACAGAATTCCACATCTCCAGGATTTGTATCTGGAGCTGGATTTTATGACTACTCTCTCCCAGATAGAGGATTGGGAACTTGTCCACCCGCTCCTAGCAGACCATCCCCTCCCCAAGCAGGAAAAATGGTGGGTATGGTCAGTGGATGGCCTTTTTCTCCATCACCAATGCAGCTCCCTATACCCAGTCCAACTTCATCAGAGAAGAGTCGAACTTCACCTCTGGACCTTTCATCAACTCCTCTAAAAGAGGTCCAAAAGTCACCTGGTTTGAGTTCTGAGAAAACAGACTCGATGGCAAGTTCTTCAAAACTTCCTCCTACTACCGATCATAGCAAGAAGCAGCATATTGCAGAAAACAAAACAGCTCCTGAGGCAGAGCCTACTAAAACAACCATTGCTCACTATGACAAAAATGTCTTAATCTTTGGAGAAAATGCAGTGGAGATCATCTCAGTTGGAAACAACAAGTGGATTGTTCGAAATGAGGAAGAACTCTGTCATGTTGCTACTGGAGAGGTGATGAAGAAGAACAAAACAGGAGAAACTTCTCCATTGGTGCAAGTGAAAAGACTATCCACAGAGGGTCCTAGTGATGGAGGAATGCTAAAGGTTCCCAAAATTAGTGTAGTGGACTCTTTACATACAAAAGGTGCTAAAAAATCTCCACAAACAGTTGTGAATGGTACAAATGCCAAAGACTCTGCTAAAGTGGATGGAAGTGGAGAGCATATAGATGACAATAGAAACAGCTGTCCAGTGCTACAAAAAATGTTGAAGCCGGTTGGTCAGTGATGATAGCATTTTAAAGGAACATTTGTAGCTTCATTTGCTTCTGTTGTAGTAAAGATGAATTTCCGATTGTGAAATCACGGAGAAGATTATGGAACTTAATAGTGACAGTGTTCAGTTTTCTGTTTGTTAGATGAAAATTATCATCATAATGTCTACAAAGTTATGTTGTTATTTGAAAATGTGTTTTGATAATTTTTCTTTTAAATGAGTCGTGTAGTGTAGGTATTTATTAAATAGTTTAGGTAGTGTGTTTTCAAAGTTTTAATTCTAGTTGTACTCATAATGTGTTTTGGTGCTTGCATGTAAAAAATACTGGTAGATATGAACCGGTAGCTTTGTATTATTATATAATCCCAATCTTTTGATTTGCCTCTGTCCAGAACTTTTAATCCATGTTTGAAGTTTGCCATAATTTGTAAACCACAACAATAAAAAGATCTGTTTGATTTCCACTGTAGAGGTTATCTCCCTTTTGAGATGATGTTGCTATCTTGGTTGATATACACATTTTAATAACATATGATATGTAAATATGTAATTTATTGACTTGATTTTATGCCAAACAAATGACAATCATGTGAATGTTTTTTTATTTCTGCATTATAAACATGTTTATATTTGAGTCAGTTGACAAAAGAGAAAATTGTAAATCTTAAATGAATTGGATAACTTTTTAAAGATCATTTGACATACGAGTTTTCCTGGTACATTAATTAAATTGTAGGTGTGAATGCCTTGATGTTTTTTTTACTGCATTACTTACAAATCCAATTTTTTTCTGCATGTTTTAAAAAAGGTATAACTATTATGTTCATAGTCTGAGTTACTACTGTAGACTTGTTCTGAAATTTAAAGAAGGCTTTGAGTCTCCTGGACAATACAGATGTCAAACGAACTAAGTTGAACTTTGACCTATGATCACACACTTCATGTTCAAATGGAAAAGTACATATGTCGCAGAACTGTTTTGAACCTTCATGTTATCGATCAAAGCTACGGTATGTCATAAGGACTCGTGCTGTGATGAATGGATATATTGTCTCAGATAAATTGTGATTTAAGAAAGATATATGCTTTGATACAATGTATCATGATCTGAATAACCCTCACGTTTGTTTGCATAAATAGGATTTATTTGTAACGAGAACTGCCGACTGACTAGAGAGAGATCAAGTGTATTTGTTGTGATGTTGTGTTAGATGTGAGTTGTCATTTTTGTTTGCTATCTTGTATATTAATGATAAATATATATATATTTGTTGTTGATGGAAATACACTCTTTTGATGGGGCAATTGTGTTGTTAGATAAATGTTTTTAAATTTTGTGAATTTTAAAGTTATCCAAATTTATGTAGTTATTTTGTTTTTTTTGAAAGGGAAAATTCTTAACAATAGAAGGTTTATTTTCTCTGAAGGAAGTTATCAGAGGTGTGTCTTCTGAGTAGCTTCCCTTGTCTTAAAGAAGCTTCAAATTTGAATTCCAGATATTTGTTATTCTACAAAATTATCATGCCATTTTGTTTCACCTTACAAATTTCAGTATTATGGAGATAGCATTGATAGAGCTGTAAACTAAACATTGTACAATGTATGATTCATGCTTTATTATGAGTATTTATACTGTCAGATTCTCACAACATCTGTATCGCCTTGGATGGCGGCATGTTATATCTATTCTGTTTGGAAATCATTCTTTAGACTGTTTGGGGGGGTGGGGTGGGGGGTGGGGGGGGGTTATAGATAGCTCTATATATATATATATATATATATATATATATATATATATAATGGCCTCTTGAAATTGAGAGCTAAATTGTTCTTGGCAGTTTCTAAATTTGGGTTATATAATTAAGACGCAATAGGATTTTCCCCATATTCATACTGTAACTGCAATCAAGCAATTTTGTCGAAATCATTTGTGAATTTCTAAATATTTTACTTTCAAACTAAAAATGTGCCACCATGTCCAGAAAGTAGGTGTTTGAACAATCAAATTCAATGAAACGTATATGAAATGCTTTTCATACCCTTATATGGAAGTTTAAAAGTCAAAAATGAGATTCTGATGGTCTAAATTCTCAGTCCAATAGCTAGTGTTTTAATATGCCTCTAAATTTTATAACATATTTGAGTATTCTATATTTTATACAGATTGCCAAAATTTAGCATTGCTAGAATTTAGAACCAAAGAATTTTGTTGCTTTTAATGGTCCCCTTTGTCTTGTGTTGGTTTGGTTGTTTTGAGACAATCAATAAAAATATATTTAAAAAATTTCTTTGTGTTTTGCAAAGTGAGATAACTCTAACTTTTGATAAATCAGGAGGATACACTGTCATCTTCAACAATGACTTCTTTTAAATGATGTGATAAGTTTACTGGAATTTAAAGTTTTAGGTCAATGGAGTCAGTCAGGTGACCTATTGCTATCTGTTTTTGTCCATCGTTGTGCTTCAGTCATAAACTTTTGAACATTTTCAGTTTCTCTTGAACTAGTGAACCAATTTCAATCAATTTTGGTATATAGCATCAATGGGTGAGGGGTACAAAAGTGTAAATTTCATGGTCCCTGCCCCCTCAGCCTGAGGGGTGGGGCTAAATGATCAAAATTAGTGCTATCATTAAAAAATCCTCTTCTTTTTTCTGGACATCAAGCAGTCAAACTGTTGGCATGATATTGTAAAAAGCAATGAGCCCTCTGCCAAAATTTTAAAATTCATGGTCCCAGGGTCAGTGATTCTACAGACACGGTGGGGTTCTAATGATCATGTAGTGAAAATAGAATATTTACCGTAATTCTTTTAAAATTGTTTTCTCCCTAGGTGCATGGTTATGATGAGCAAGAGTGCCTTTTCCAAAATAATGATGTTTCTGGCCCCAGGGTCAGGAATTCTTGTGGGTGGGGGGCGCTATTGATTATATGCACTATTATATTACATATTGCTCTATTGATCTTCCAAAATTATGAATTACATTGCCCATGGGTTAGGGGCTCTGTTGTTAGACATACGTGTATAGTAAAATGCATTATGTCTTTGAAAATCTTCTTTGCTCCTGGGTATTAAGAAAACAAATTAAGTGCATAGGTCTGATGAGCAAGAGTCTGCTTCTTTCAAATTTGTGAATCTCCTGGGTCATGGATTCTGGTGTTAGGGCAGGGCTCTATTGATTATATACTATATATATACTCGTCTTTAAGTTGGATTTTTAGGAGGTAAATATTGGTCCAAAACTCTACGTCCGAATTACAAGTGAGTCCTAGAAACATCAGGATTCTCTGGAGAGAGGAGATAAAATATTTATTTAATAACTTCAAATGATTATCATTGACAAACGTGGGAACATACAAGAAAGGTAGATCTAAGGTGAGAATATGCACTACATACAAGTCTTTATAGATTTTAATGATCTTTAAATTTTGAATAAATAATTTAAGATCAAACATCAATGTCATAACCAAAACATAATTGAAACACGTATAAAAATGCTACAATGTTTATCTGAAACTGGAACAAATCTGGGCAAAAAAATATACCAACTTATTATTGGGTCAATGGCAAATTCCTCTAAAATTACAATAAAAAAAATACAAGTGACTTACAGGCACAATGACTAATAGGTAGGCCAGTATATGTGGCAGTGAAAATGCATTAATTCTTCAAAAATCTCGTTCCCTGCTCTTGTGTATTTAGCAGATAAAGTAAGTGCATGGTTATAATGAGCAAGGGTGCCTCTTCCAGAATTGTGATTTTCATGGTTCCTGGGTTGCAAGCCTCTATAAATCAGATACTGAAAATGCATACTTTCTTTAAGTATCCAGTATCCTCTCTGTCCATGGGTATTAAGTTGATAAACAAATTGCAGGGTTATGATAAGCAAGGATCCCTTGGAAAATTATGAGATTTAGAGCCTCTGGGTCAGGGGTTGTGGTGTTATGGCTGGGATGTATTGAATATATATCTTGATAGTGCATTATTTCTTTGAAAATCTTTTTCTCTGCTCCTGGGGATTTAACAAACAAACTTAGTGCATGCTTATCATTAGCAAAGGTGCCTCTTCCAAAATTATGAATTTCTTGGCCCCTGGACTAGGGCCTCTGGTGCTTAAGATTATATAATGAAAATGCATTTTTTTTTTTTGGAAAAACTTCTTCTCTGCTCCTATGTATTAAGCAATCAAAGTAAGTGCATAGTTATGATAGGAAGGTGAGCCTCTTCCAGAATTGTGAATTTCCTGTCCCCTGGGCCAGGGGTTCTGGTGTTGGGGCAGGGTTCTATAAATCAGATATTGAAAATGCATTAAGTATCTTCTCTCTGCCCCTCTCAGCCCCAGAGCCCCAGAGCTGACAAACTACTTACTTCAAACACATGTAACAGAGACATTTTGTGCCTCTGCTGGGGATTGAACCCGGGGCCTCTGGCTTGCCAGTCCAGTGCTCTACCAATTGAGCTAAAGGGTTAACCCACTAGCCCAAGCTAGTAGGATGCCATGTATCTGACACTACCACATTGTCTGAAATTTTATGTTTTCCTTCGAATGCCAAAATTTTAACTAAAACCCTGTCTCCTTTTTGTAAAGATATTCCTCTTGCCTTAATGTCGTATGTTGTCTTTTGTCTCATCTGTGCTTCTTTTGCATTTTTTTCTGCTAATTGATATGCGCTAGCAAGTCTTTCCCTTAAGTCACTTATGTATTTGGTCTTGGATTCTTGATTTTCTTTTCCTATCCCAAAGGCAACGTCTATCGGTAGTCTCGGATTCCTCCCGAACATTAAAAAATAAGGTGATACTCCTGTAGTTTCGTGTTTTGTACAATTGTATGCATGAACAAGTGATGGTACATATGATTTCCAGTCATTTTTCTTTTCTTTTTCCAATGTTCCCAACATATTTAGAAGTGTTCTGTTGAATCTTTCGCACATGCCGTTTCCCATGGGGTGGTAACTGGTCGTTCTAGATTTCTTCATTCCTGTTAATATGCAGAGTTCTTTTATAATGGCACTTTCAAAGTTGGTTCCTTGATCCAAGTGTATCCTTTCTGGTATCCCGTAATGTACTATGAAGTTCTCAAATAAAGCTCTTGCTGTTGTTTTAGCTGTTTGATTGTGAGTTGGAATGGCTTGTGCATAGCGAGTAAAATGGTCAGTTATGATGAGTATGTTCTCTTGTCCTCCTTTAGATTTTTCCAGGCTCAGGAAATCCATACAGACAAGTTGTAAAGGAAAACAGGTCTCGATGCTTATCAGTGGAGCTCTCTGGTTTACTGGTGTTTTTCTCTTAACACATCTTCCACATGAATGTATCCAGTCTTCTACATCTCTGTCTATTCCTGGCCAGTAAAATCGCTCTCGTACTAATGATAATGTTCTATCTTTCCCAGGGTGTCCCATATCATTGTGTAGTGCTTTCAATACTGTATTTATATGATCTGATGGTAGAACTAGCTGTTTCTTGTTTTCCTCATTGTAGATAACCTCTCTGTACAAAATATCATTCTGCAATTTAAGATGATGAAATTGTCTGATGTAAGGTGATGGTCCAATTTCTGCAACTGTTGGTTTTCTGCCTAACTTAACGAAATGAATTATTTTGTCTAATTCTGGGTCTACCTTCTGTGCTTTTGTCCAGTCTATTATCTCTTTGTCCATTGTAACTGTTCCATCCTCTTCTAAATTTACTGATGTTGACAAGTTTTCAATGTAAGGTCCAGAAATCCTTGAGTTACAGATAGCCTTGACTGAATCTAATGATATTGACTCCATGTTTACAGGTGGTGAGATTCTACTAAGTCCATCAGCGTCATTGTTCTTCTTCCCTGGTCTATACAAGATGTTGAAATTAAATGCTGATAATGCGGCAAGCCATCGGTGTCCTGTGGCATCTAATTTGGCTGTCGTTAGCACGTACGTCATTGGGTTGTTATCTGTCAGCACTGTAAAATCCTGTCCATAAAGATAGTCCTTAAATTTGTCACATATGGCCCATTTCATGGCAAGAAATTCCAATTTATGTGGGGGGTATTTAGCCTCTGACTTTGTCAGTCCTCTGCTTGCATATGCCACTACTCGCTTCATTCCATCCTGTTGCTGATACAAAACTGCTCCAAGTCCTACTCCGGATGCATCGGTATGAAGCTCAAACGGAGAATGGCTGTCAGCATATGCCAGAATTGGTGCGGATGTTAAGTGATGTTTCAAAGTTCTAAAGGCTTCTTCCTGTTTTTCTCCCCATTCCCATTTCTTTCTGTTTGCTTTCTTAGTTTTCTGCTTCTGTGGAGTTGGCATAAGATCTGTAAGCGGCTTACTTACCTTGCTAAAATCTTTGATAAATCTTCTGTAGTATCCTACAAAACCAATGAACTTTCTTACCTCCTCTGGATTTTTCGGTGTAGGCCATTTGTTGACTTTTTCTGTCTTTTCCGGATCGATTTCAATACCCTCGGATGAAACAATATGTCCTATATACCTTACCTTGTCCTTGAAGAAACTGCACTTTTCTGGTGATAACTTCAGATTGGCCTGTTGTATCCTAGTAAGTACTTTCTCTATGTTTTCTAGATGTTCTTCAAATGTTCTTCCAAATATAATGATGTCGTCAATAAATATGCAGCATATGTTCAGATGGTAATCGTGTAGAATATTCTCCATCATGCGTTGGTAAGTTGCCGGTGCATTTGTTAGTCCGAACGGCATTCTCTCGTACTCGA